GTGTGTGTGTGTGTGTGTGTGTGTGTGTGTGTGTGTGTGTGTGTGTGTGTGTGTGTGTGTGTGAGAGAAACTCAAATCTAGCGCGTGATGATGGCGGTCACAGCAGAACGGCTGCCAAAAATGCACGATGACCTATGACCTATCGAGACAAACGAACAACACATACTGAAGCGCAGACTTTATCAACTCACAGATGCTTTTCTATAACGTTTTTTTTTAATCCATATGTAAATGATTCTATATAGAAGACGTACAGTATTTCAGTCCGGTGGATTCAGCGCAGAAGAATCAAGCCATACATGGATATTATTCGACTGAGACTCCAGACAGACAACAAGAAGAGCGAGGACTTTATGGAAGGTGTTGGTGGCCATAGCAACTGAAGCAGAGGTCTGCACACTTGCAAACTTCAAAGTTGCTGTTGTTTTCAATTTTTGGTTTATTAATGGCGAGTTTGAAAGGAAGAGATCTAAGAACTGTGACACCGCGAACATATTTCACACAAGTACACAAACGCAACTCCTCTGCCAACAATGAGTCTCATTCAACTTATTGTGGAGGTTAAAAAAAAACAGTCCTCAAGGCCAGGGGTTGATAGAGTTTCCTTCAAATGTTTGTGTAATTTGGCACACTTTTCATTTATAGCAGTTCTTGTTCCCTTGGGAATCGAACCCATGACCTTGTGTTTGAGCTACATGTACATGAATCAAAAATACAGATGTTATTATTCAGGTAGCTGTGATAAACACGTGGACCGTTTTACTTGGTGCCATTCTCTTCAAATTGTTGCTCCACCATGACAGTAGTTGATCTGAAAAAGACAATTCTGACATATTTTACAAAGCAAATAGACACACACACACACACACAATCAAGTTTGCATATTAAAGCATAGCTACACTAGCAGTCAGAAGTTTGGACCCAGCTAACAGGGAATGTTCTCAGAACGTTCTGGCAAAAGTTATGTTCCAGTAACACGAATAGAATGTTTATTCAAAGTTATCTGGTATTTAACAATATGCTCAAAACATTATTTATTCATCATTCATGGAACTTTTTTTCTGAAATGTTTGTTCATCTAACAGTTTTTTAAATGTTACTAGTTTTAGAACGTTCAAAAATTAACAGTTTGCAAACTGATTAAATGGAATGTTCCCTTAACATTCATGAAACCAAGAAGAAACATTTTTAAAACATTTAAAAACTGGATGTTTTGAACGGTCAGAGAACATTCAGAAATAACATTTTCATACCCTAATTGGGAACGTTAGCAAAACGTTGATAGAACATATTTTTCATCATTCAATCATTAGTCTCTTCTGCTCATTCAAGGCTGCATTTGTTTGATCAAAAATAGGCCTACATAAAACGCAGTAGTATTGTGAAATATTATTAAGATTTTAAAGAGCTGTTTACTATTTATTGAATATATGAATTTATTCCTGTGATGCAATATTCCAGTCTTCAATGTTTTTTGTTTTTTTAAAAATGCTTTTATTCATTAAGGACGCATTAAATTGCTCAAAAGTGACAGCAAAGACATTTATAATGTTATAAAAGTTTTCCATTTCAAATAAAAGTTGTTCCTTTGAAATTTCTATTCATCAAAGAATCCTGAAAAATGAAATGTATCACGGTTTCCACTAAAATATTCAGCAGCACAATTGTTTTCAACTTTGATAATAATCAGAAACGTTTCTTGAGCAGCAAATCAGCATATTAGAATGATTTCTGAAGATCATGTGACACTGAAGACTGGAGTAATGATGCTGAAAATACAGCTTTTATCACAGAAATCAATTACATTTTTTACTATATGTGACCGTGGAGCACAAAAGCAGTCTGAAGTCGCTGGGGTATATTTGTAGCAATAACCAACAATACATTGTATGGGTCAAAATTATCAATTTTTCTTTTATGCCAAAAATCATTAGGATATTACGTAAAGATCATGTTCCATGAAAATATTTTTTGAATTTCCTACCGTAAATATATAAAAACTTAATTTTTGATTAGTAATATGCATTGCTAAGAACTTCATTTGGACAACTTTAAAGATGATTTTCTCAATATTTAGATTTTTTTGCACCCTCAGATTCCAGATTTTCAAATAGTTGTATCTCGGCCAAATATTGTGCTATCCTAACAAACCATACATCAATGGAAAGCTTATTTCTATTTATTCAGCTTTCAGATGATGTGTAAATCTCAAAATGTCAACAAATTTATGCTCATGACTGGTTTTGTGGTCCAGGGTCACATATATATTCCCACGTGAAACGCATTTCAAATAGAAATAACATTTCACAATGGTACTGTATTTTTCATTAACAATAGGCCTACTTGTGTGGAGTATGTTTCTGGTCTAATTTAGGCAGTTAGTCGGAGCACAATGGACTTGAACAGAACGCAAGAGTCTCTCAATATAACATTACATTTTAAAAAGATAGCACTCATAGCGAGAGACTCTGAAACAACAGCGAAGGGCGACGCAGCAGCCAAAGACGTCCGTCTGACGCGCGTGTACATAGACTGAACACAGTGTGTGTGTGTGTGTGTGTGTGTGTGTGTGTGTGTGTGTGGAGACAGACGGACGCTGAACCCTCCTGAAGCACAGAGACCTACCAAAACCGCTGATATCCGGAGCTGTGTTTGTGGTGACGCTATAAATACTCCGTATGCTTTCTTCTCATCGCCGCGTGCGTCACGTGCTTCTGTTCACTGTGAGTCGTGGCTTCTGTGGTTTGTGATCAGCTTAACGTTTGTATTATACTCTATAATCTATATGTGTAGCACAGATGACCTGTAAATACATTGTGTTTATTAATGAATATGAATGTTATCGATCTTTATTAGGCCAATGAGCGGCATTCTGGATTGGTGATCACTGATTAAACATGAGGTGTATTGATAAGATTTGCTGTATCGTGCGATATACTTTTGGAGAAGAGTTCTAGCAAATAAAGGTGTTCTGATGAATTACTCACCTGTTCTGCTCTTTTCAGTGAACAAATGACACCAGAAACACTAAACACGGATGGGAAGGAATAATTAACATCTTTATTTACTGGAATACTGGTGATGTTACATTCATGACTTTATTTCATTTATAAAGCATTAGTTTAACTTTAGTTGTGTTTTTAATTAATTCTCCAGCAGAGCTGAATTGAGAATTTAACTTTTTGATTAAACTTGATTTGAATTGTGGTTCCAAACAGGATGCAGAATTCTAATTTGAATTTTTAATTGATACATTTCTTTATTTCTCAGTATGTATTATCCATAAATATGTCCTATGTATAGGATATTTCAGAAACATCAGATGATATTAATGATCAATTTTAAATGTTATGTATTTAGTAAATTTCATTTTAGTGGAAGGACAATTCCCCCAATTTACTTAAGAACATTTAAGGATCTTTTCTGTTCATAAATTACAATTCAAATTCTAATTCAACATCATGTTTGATGCGGACGTTTCATTTCAATGCATACTCATGAATTAAAATTGCGCATTTTATTCATCTCTGATGTTCAGGCGCCCAGCTAACAGCAAATCCTCAGAATGATCTGGCAAAGTTATGAATAAAAGTTCTTCAAGTAACATTAATAGAACGTTCATTCAGAGTTTTCGGGTTATTTATACATCGTTCATGGAATGTTTTCTTGTATCAGAACGTTTGGAATGTTTGGAAAATGATCAAATGTAATGATCCCTTAACATCTGCATAACCAAGAGAAAGTTTTTTTTTTAAACATTTAAAAAACTGGATGTTTAGAACATTCAGAGAAAATTCAGAACTTTTCATAACCTAATGGGATTGGGAATGTTATAAAAACGTTCTTAGAACATATTTGTGTGAACTGGGCTGTCTGATACTGCTGGTACAATGTTAGAAGATTCAGCAGATGATTTTAGTAATTCATTTGTTTCTTTTATCATTTATGTATTATTCCGTGAGCTGTAAATTAAAGCTACAAACGATCTAAAAATATTCTACTGTAAATAAGATCCGGCATCATCTCTGCGGCTCACATGCGGTCTCTGCCCGAGGAGCAGAAGAGAGCAGCTTCAGGATGCAGGTGGAGTTTCTCCTCTAGTCCGTCGGGTTCCGCTCCTTCTTCTTTCCTTCCGGTTTTGGTTTCTGTGAATCTGTGGGGAGACGAACAATACATCAGTCTCTGTCTCTCTCTCTCTCTCTCTCTCTCACACACACAC